CTTACCCTTCTGTTATTTTTTACATTGATACTATTCAAGCCATTATCAGAGATTAAACAATGTCTGGATGAATGATTATATAATAAGATCGATCAAAAGAAACACACTGAAAGACTTTCATACCCTACTGAAGTCTATTTTCCCAGACGTACAGTTTACAATAGAGAAAAAACAGCTAGACAATTACCATTTTTAGATGTGCTTTTCAACAGACAAGAATGGAAGCCTAGAAGCCAGTTTATTGCTTTTGGCTTTTAAAATACTCCAAAGCACCAAATAAACCTACAATGTATAGATTTTTCTTCTTCCCAGCTTTAAATGTTTATATAGAAAATTACTGAAAAATTAAATGTTATTAAAGATTTTTTTTTGTAATTATGCAATGTTTTTATCTAAAAAAAATAAAGTTGAGGCTAGCACAACATCTGCTTTTGTTAAATGGAAAGCTTACATATAAAAGAAAAATATGCTAACTTATTATCATTAATTATTAAAGAAATGGTAATTCTTGGAAAAGATTAATGAGCCCACTCTTCCAACAACCCTCCTTCTCCTTTGTCAGAATATTCATGACTGGGAAGACATGGTAACAAGGTTAGCCAATGAATAGGCATGGCAACAGATCAGCCAATGGGAGCTGAAACATTTTGGAGGCATGGCGTGGCTCAGCTATGTGTGTGTGCAGAAAATCGAAACTGAAACTAAGCAGCCTGTACATGCTTGTCTGGTCTGCTGAAATGAAACTAACTGATCTCTCCTGCCTTGTGGTCTGCCTGTAACTTTTACCACATTGGAAGAATCAACTATTGGTATTGTAAATACTTTATCTGTTATTATGTATATAAAGAAGTTAATGAATCCAGCTGAATCAGTTATCTGTGTGTGCTTCTGGATTTGATTTTTGCAAGAAATTCTGATAGGTTAAGGGCCCAGAGTACACAGAAGACTGAATTGTAATTAAGCTGAAGAGACTGCCTGTGTTTATGGCTTGCAAGATGGCTGCTGTTAAATTGCAGGAGAGCTCTCTGCCTCGTTTGGGACAGAAGAACTATATTATTTGGGCTGCAAAGATGGAATGTTTCCTGAAGGCAAAGGAGCTCTGGAATATTGTTGTAAATCCACCACAGGTGCCATTTACAGCTGCAGAGCAGAGGCAGCATGATAAAGCAATAGCTTATATCATCTTGAGTTTAGAAGATGAACTGTTTATGAATGTTAATGTAGGTAAGCGGGTCCAGCTGGATGATCACTGAAGGGCCCTCTTTATTCATAGTATTGTAGGAAAGGAAATGTGCTTGTTTAAGGGAAGCCAATTATCCAGTTGAAAGGCAGAGAATTCCTTTGAAGTAGAAACATTCAGAAGAAGGGCCTCTCAGTTGTCAGAAATAGAGATATTTGGTGATATACAGTTTGAAGGTTAAAATAGATCAAAGGATGACCACATGTAATATCAACAAGAGATAATTTGAATCTATGCTTCAGTGATTTACAAGAAGAATTACGACTGTTTGGCAAGAATAATATGAAACGTAGTAATCAGGAAATGTCAATTAAATATAACAAATGTATATGACCACATAAACTGCTGTGTTAGTAGAATCCTTTGTCTTAGAAGGGTATAAAACCATTGTAACTAATTTCTGTCTTTGTTCAACACTTCATGTTCAAACGAGCTTTGAACCTATTGTGAAATATACTGTCTCTGACTAACCCGGAAAAGTTGTGTTGGTCTAATTAATCCACAACATTTATGGCACCCTGGCAGATGGGACTAAGGAACAAAGAACTTTTGTTCTACCAGACAGCCTGCCTCAGCGGGAACCGACGCCTCCTCAAGGAAAATCCACTGGCCGGCCATTAGGACTCCTTTGAAGTCCATGGAAATTCAGTGAGGAGGCTGTCGTAAACCCATTGGCGAAAACAGGCTAGTCAAGAATCCTTGAAGGTTAGCCAGACACAGAGACTCAACATAAATACATAAAAAGAAAGAAAGAGAGAAAGAAGGAGAAAGAGAGAAAAACAGATAAGTATAAGTCAGAGAGTTAAAAGTCTCTCTGTTAGGTGATGCCCACCCATTTAGTGGTGGAGGAGAGAGCCTGATCACCCCCCTAGGAGACAAGGTGGTGTCCTAAAGTCTCTGGAATTAAGTATTTAGGTATTGGAATTAAGGAACTAAGTATTGTGTGTGATCTTATGTGTGGTAAGAGAAAATAACTAATTGCAGTGTTATAAATTGACATTCTTAAAAAGCCAGAGAACTCTGAAAGAACTAAGAATAAAGAAGAAATTGTTTACTGTTCTTCCCACCCGGGGTTTAGCAGGCAGTAAAAAGGTAAAGCCTGTCTAAATGGGAAGACACAGATAATTTGACTTGATCAATTTGGTGTAATTTCTGTTAAAAAAAAAAAATTCTGGATGTGCATCTATAATGATAGTGTGTAAAATTGAATGTGATTGATTGTGATACGTTTGGCTGGCCAGCAAAGTGAGTAGACTCGTGCTTGAGATTGTGGGAGATGTTTGAGATGATTGTGGTGGTTGGTTTGCATGAAGTGGGATTTTTTGTATGTGAAATTGGTTTATACAAGAAGTCTGATTGCAGTACAAATGTGAATGCCTGTGTGTTGATAATGTGAGAAATTAGAGAGAATGCAGAGGGTTCTGTTGTTGAAAGGATGCTGAGAGGCGAAACGAAATGAGAATTCTATGTAGTTTAAACATTTTTTCTCCCTGTATTTCCTTTCCCCTCCTTCCTTTGGAAGAGAGAAGCAGGAAAAGGGTGGGCTGCGGGCAGCATTTTTCTCTGTTGAATGAGAATGAGAAAGGCGGGGTAAAGGATGATATCTGATACCTGCCTTTGCCTGTTTTTGGCTCGGAATGCAGTTTATTTATTTGTTTGTTTGTTTGCTTGTTTGTTTAACAGCACAAGTTGCTGCCCTTTTAGGAATTGTTACAGAGATGAGTTAGAAATTACAATATGTAGTAAGAAAGAGTCAGTGGCATTCTTGTCTAAAATGTTAGATTCTGCCTGTTAAGGATTTCCAGTTTGTGTTCAAGCAGTGGCAGCTATGGCAGTGTTAATGAAGGAAAGCAGAGAGTTGACTTTTGGAGGAGCCCTAGTGCCCCTCCTCAAGTGAGTGTGATCTTGATTGAGAGCATGCTTGTTTTTGTTTGAATCCAGCTCAGTTTACAAGGAGATTTAGAAGGACGATCAGATATTGGTGCTGAGAAGGGGTTAATTTGTTTATAGATGGGAAGAGAAGGTGGTAGCAGGTAAGAGAAGACATTTAGGTAAGTTGGTTTGCAGAGGCTTGTGCAATCAAGCTTTGAATTTCTTTGAAGCTTGAGGTGCTACTTGGAAGCCAGGATGACAGCGGTAGGAGAATTGAATGTTTTATAAGAAGAAGGAGTTAGAGAAAGTATAATTGATGGAAGGGAGAAGGTATGTGATGTGGTTTTGGTAGGTTATGGATGTTGTATAACCTTTGGACGGGGAAGGAAGAAAGGAATGTGGAAGTGGGAAGAAGTAGTGATATGGGCAGAGAAGAAAGCGTTAAAGATTACCTGATCCAAAGAAGAGAAGTGGTGTTTTTTAGTTGTCAGAGATCAGATTAAGTGAACAAAGCATTTGAATACACTTAATTAGTGAAGGGAGTGTTGGAAGATTTGAGAAACTCAATATTAAAAGAGCAGGGAAATTCCCCTAAAGAAAATAAGCAGAAACTCAGGCAGAGTTTCAGCCCCCACCTTTACCAATGGGCCATTAAGAAGCTGGAAGGGCCACCTTATTTCCACAACAAAGGAAGAATAAAAAAAAAAAAAGGTTACTCTTACAGTTAAGACGGGCTGGCCTCGGAACGGAACACTGTGCATGTGTTTGTTTCTTGCTTGCCTTACTAGGAACAATAAACTGATTCCAGGAGTTTTGAATTCAGGAAGGGAAAGCTCTGCCTTTCAACAATCCTTAAAGGGAAAGGCTTCTTTTTTTCCAACAGGAGTAGTAAAAAATCACTCCTGATAGAAAGGAGGGGTGGCATCTCAGCCTCTATCCATAAACAAGCAAGAATTAAGATAATTCTATGCAAAATTAATTGAATCTGGACCTTGGAGTTTGAAATGGGAGGGACATGAAAGAGGAAGCCTTGAAAATTTGAAACAAGCCTTAACCAAGGCTCCTGTATTAAGTTTACCAAATTTGGAAAAGCCATTCAATCTCTTTGTAAACACAGAAAATTGAATTGCACAAGGGGTGTTGGCTCAGAAAGTAGGAAATTGACCTTTGGGGGAGCCCTTATTGTAAGCACTCCACATCCAGTCAGAACCATCCTTCAGTGGTGGTTAACTGATTCCAGAATTCTAAACAAAAATGAAACAATTTTAAAGCAGCAGACAGACTTGATTTTAACTACAGATCACAATTTGAATCAAGCACAGTTCTTAGCCAACACCGGATCAATGGATCAGTTTGGATGAGAACATTATGGTGCTGAAGTAATTGGTTAAATACAAAAATAAGACCTGATTTGGAGGGACACCCCCTGGAGACAGAAGAAGCAATTTGTGACACACTAAAGAAATCCTAGAAACAAGGGGTTTGCCTCGAAATTGGTCTGCTCAAACCTTTGAACTGTATTCATTAAATTAAGCTCTATGGACAGGGAGCCTGGATAGCTCAGTAGACAAATGCATTGTAATTTAACATCAGCTGTCTGCAATTACTGTAAATTCGAATCTCACCAGGCTCAAGGTTGACTCAGCCTTCCATCCTTTCTAAGATAGGTAAATTGAGGACCCAGTTTGTGGGGGCAATAAGCTAACTTTATGAAGGCTGTTGCTTAACGCATTGTAACCCTGAGTCTCCGGAGATCATTTGGCAAAATATGGGTGGAGTCATTGGGGAATTCAAGCTATTGTAGATGAACTTTTAAAAAAGCTATGGTTGTATTGGGATATATCCTTTAGTAACATCAATTATAAACAAATGTTTGATTTGTAAAAAGGTGAATGAACAAGCTATCAGAAAACAACAGATGGGGAGATACCACCAGCTTTAAGACCATTTCAATGTCTTCATGTGGATTTTACAGAATTACCAAAAGTGGGGAGAGTAAAATATTTATTAGTCATAGTGGACCACCTCACAGGGTGGGTTGAAGCTTTTCTCTGCAATAATGCTACAGCAACAGTGGTGTCAAGAGTTTTACCCAACCTACACAGATTATCATCATATGAACTGTTGTTTGGAGTAGTTTTTACTACAGGAAGCATGTGCATTAATTCCCTGGAAACCAGAGACAAAGTATTGAAACAATATGTGTATAAACTGTCCAGATATTTTGAAGTTTTTAGGAAACAAGGACTATTAGCCCAAACACCACCTTTGAAGTTTCCAGTCCACAAATTCCACCACGATGATTGGATGTTGATCCGGAGCTGGACGGAAGTTAAACCCTAGTGAAAGGGCCCGTGCCAGCCCCAAAGGAGTGGAAGGTGGAATCTCACCAAGGAGATCCATTGAAGTTGCCGATCCAAAAGATCCAAGGGACTGGTAGGCAGCAACCAGTGGGAATAGCATTCTTCATCATCTGGACTATTTTTGTATTTTTTCTTTCTTAGGATTGAGTGGTTGCCTATGCTGTTTCCCAACTGAAGAGGACTACAACTGATCAGATTCCTTTGTGCACTCTCCCAGATGTATTGGTTTTGTAATTGTGCTTTAAGATCTTAGAAGGAAGATCCTGGATCCAGTGGACGAGACTGAAGCCTGCGAACCAGACTGATCCCGTGACGTACCAGGTGACACAGACAGAAAAACCCCTCATGCTGAAATTTAAGAAGAATACACCCTGCTGAGTCCTACCGGCAACGGACTCTCAATGCACGGTGGTGATCGTCAGCCTTGCTGAACCACCCCGGAAGCTGGTTCCCAGCGCACGGCCGAAGCTTGGAATGGAGGAAGACAACATTCCATGACTGTAGTTTGTAATGTAAAATCCATTAACTGTAATAGAATCCAGTGTGCACTACTTAAAGACACTCATGCTAGAGGGAAATTGGGTGTGGGGACTCTGGGCAACAGCTACTTTAGCCCTTTTGTTGGTATTGTTTTAATACAATTGATGTTGCCCTATCCCAAGTTAGGCATATCCCTAACCCTCTTCTTGACGTGGTGAATTTGTAAACTATGGGTCTTGCGCTCTTAAGGCCTTGTGGGTGTTCAAGAAATTCCCCTTGTCCCTATAGAAGGAATTAAAGATGTCAAGAATCCCAGGGGAACTAACAGCATCAGGACACTGAATGGGGACACTTTGGGTCAAGTCCACTCCCGCCAACAACATGGTATCAGACGGTGGAGGGAAGCCTTAGACCTAAACCAACTCCTAGACCTGGGATCAAGAGTTTAACAATCCCGGTAGAGGGGGGAATAGAAAAGGAGAACGGACCCCTACAACAATTGAAAAGAGGAAATTGCATATCAGGGATACTAGAATTGGGTCGAAACCTTGTTAAATCATAGGGTCACCTTCCCTGTGTGTAAAGAAACATCAGAAACCTGGTAGGCCTATAGGATCCCTGACAAAAGAACTATGTCCATCAGAAGTGTACCTTGGTCCTAGAATGAACCTTAGGGATGTAAAATTAACCAAAGATCTTTTTCCTTCTGCACACCACTCACTTTCTCATCACCACCAACTGCCATCATCACAAGATGGGGAGGATGGAAGAGGTCCTGGAAGGTATCCAAGGAAAGGTGCACTAGTCTGTTCCAGCCCCCTCGCTTCACAATCTGGCTCTCCATTAGGTCCAACACAGGTTTATGTGTCTTCTTTCCCCCTGTTTGAAGGACCAATTCTCAGAGATAAACAAAAGGACCCTTCACTAGAAGTCTCATTGCAACCACTGGCAGGAATGTTTGTGGCAGGGACTTTGGGGGTCTGGACTAATGAAAACTACCGTAAGATCCATGCTTTCTCCATGAACATAGGAGGTATGTGTGTATTTCTGGGAAAAGACTGTTGTTTCTATATGAATAAGTCAGGTGTGGTCAGAGAAGGTGCTAAAGAATTACAAGAAAGGGCTTCCAAGATAAGCCACAGGTTACAGACATCAGATATGTGGTTTTCTTGGGTGCCAGGTTCTGGATGGATTAAACAAATGATATTCTTGTTCATATGTGCGATAGCTGGTCTAGCATTCATCCCATGTGTAATCCCAATACTCAGACAACTATCAATAAAAGCAGTAAAGGAGATTCAAGTTGAGAAGGAACTAGCTTTGACAGAACATTTTCTTAATCAACTTGGTCCCTATACTGTGGAAGAACCTACAGATTCTGAGCCAGAACCATATGTGGAAATGGGACCAGTGGAAAGATGGAGAGAATCTAAGAATCAAGAGAATAGACACAATCATGTATAACTTGTTATTTGCCTTTATTACTTATATTTTGTTAGAACTTATATATTGTAGATTTGTTTATTGGAACCTTGTATACTCACTTGTTACACTTATAATAGAATAGTGGAAGTTTATGCATAGAAAAACTTCCAGAGGGGGGAATAATGTAGGTAAGCGGATCCAGCTGGATGATCACTGAAGGGCCCTCTTTATTCATAGTATTGTAGGAAAGGAAATGTGCTTGTTTAAGGGAAGCCAATTATCCAGTTGAAAGGCAGAGAATTCCTTTGAAGTAGAAACATTCAGAAGGGCCTCTCAGTTGTCAGAAATAGAGATATTTGGTGATATACAGTTTGAAGGTTAAAATAGATCAAAGGATAACCACATGTAATATCAACAAGAGATAATTTGAATCTATGCTTCAGTGATTTACAAGATGAATTATGACTGTTTGGCAAGAATAATATGAAATTTAGTAATCAGGAAATGTCAATTAAATATAACAAATGTATATGACCACATAAACTGCTGTGTTAGCAGAATCCTTTGTCTTAGAAGGGTATAAAACCATTGTAACTAATTTCTGTCTTTGTTCAACGCTTCACGTACAAACGAGCTTTGAACCTATTGCGCAATATACTGTCTCTGACTAACCCGGAAAAGTTGTGTTGGTCTAATTAATCCACAACATTTAAGCTGATTTAAAGACTGCAAAAGAGATCTGGTTGAAATTAAGAAATGTGCGTGTGAGTTTCTCTGCATGCAATATTGTACAATTATCAAGAAAATTATACAGAGCCAGTTTACAACCAGGGGAATCTGTAGAACAACATTTTGTACGAATGCAAACTTTGTTTGTAGAATTGGAACAGCGTGGCATTCAGGTTCCCAAGGTGTTGCTAGTGTTAAACAGTCTTGATGAAATGTGGGACATTGTTTCTGCAGTATTTGAGTACAAACCAGAGCAGGAGTTGTATTTGGAGGCTTTAAAGGCTTGTTTGATTGTTGAGGAACAGAAATGCCATTATCAAAAAAGCCAAGAGGAGGAATTCCTGAAGTGGGGGCCCAAGGAGCAGAGTGATAATCCCTGAAAAGTCTTTGAATGCTTTTATTATCTATATAAATCTCATTTCCTCTTGCATTTTAATTATTCTTTTCTTTTCTTAATTTCTTTTCTTAATTTATATGCCAGCCATCTCCCTGGTTTTGTATATTTTAATTTCTACATCTGGAACCATCAGCATAATAACTTGTCGCAAAAATTTTAATTCATAGGTATTTATTGATGAAATGAGTAATGCTTTCTGAGACAATGAATATGAGGTGTTTTTTTTTTTGCTACCAGTAGCTGTGCTGGTACTTTTTTTTAGCACAAGTATGAATTGAACTGATGACATCACATCTTGCTTATATGTAGAAAAAAACCCAGGAAGGTGGGGTAGAAATAGCATTGTGGTTAAAAACTCTCTTTTAAAAGTCTCTAATTTTTAACTATCCAAATGTGGGTGACACCTGCCATGAAGTACATATATGGCTGTATCCCAAACCATCGAAGATATTGTTCATGTTTTATTCGACTGTCAACTATATACCTTCTTAAACTTAGATAGTTAACATCCCTACTTGAAAGGATAGCCTATTGGGATCTGAAATGCAAATTGTCCTATTTCCACTTCGGGTCTAATGTAAACGTTGTGAGCAGAACCATTAAGTTAACTGATAAATGAAACAGTTAACCTAAGAACACTGTATCAAAGAGATTGGTATATCCTGTAAGGGGGATGTGTTCTCTGGACTATTGACTCTTTGTATTTAGCACATAATGTATTTTATTACTGTATTTTCCTTTTATCTATTTTATTCTGACTTCATATCCTCTATTTTATTTTTTAAAATGTTTTTGCTATGGATGTAAGACTAATCAATAAATAAAGTATCCATCTATATAAAGTGGAATGGAATGCCCGCAAGTAATATCCTTATTTTTAAAAATGCTTTTGGGATAGTATAGTATTTTAAAGTCAACCTGTTTCTGGATTCTTCTCTTAAAATAAAGGCTCATTCATTGTTGATGAAATTTATTTATTTATTTATTTATTTATTTATTTATTTATATATATATATATATATATATATATATATATATATATATATATATATATATATATATATATATATATATTGGAATTTATATACCGCCCTTCTCCCCCTAGGGACTCAGGGCGGTGAACAGCCGAAATTAAAATACATACAATATAAAAGTTAAGATCGCTAAAATGAATTAAATCAATCGGCCCCCAATTTAAAACCCCAAAGCTATACAATTAAAAACTAACCCATAAAAAAAACCTAATTAGGCTAGGCCGGCTTGCTGAAATAAAAACATCTTCAGGGCCTTACAGAAAGTGCGGAGATCCGGGATCAGTCGTATTCCGGGGGGAAGCTCATTCCAGAGGGTGGGTGTCCCCACAGAGAAGGCTCTCCCCCTGGGGGCCGCCAGCCAACATTTCTTGACCGACGGCACCCTGAGAAGGCCCTCTCTGTGAGAACGTATTGGCCGGTGGGAGGTTATCGGTAGCAGAAGGCAGTCTCATAAATACCCTGGCCCTAAGCCATGGAGCGCTTTAAAGGTGAGAACCAACACCTTGAAGCGCACCCAGAAGACCACCAGGAGCCAGTGCAGCTCGCGCAAGAGAGGTGTTATATGGGAGCGTCATGTCGCTCCTGTAATCACCTGCGCGGCCGAATTCTGGACCAGTTGGAGCTTCCAGGTGCTCCTCAAGGGTAGCCCCATGTAGAGAGTGTTACAGTAGTCCAGGCGGGAAGTGACAAGAGCATGAGTGACTGCATAAGGAATCCTGATCCAGAAAGGGGCGCAACTGGCGTATCAGGCAAACCTGATAAAAAGCCCCCCTGGCCATGGCCGTCATATGCTCTACTAAAGACAGCCATGTGTCCAGGAGGACGCCCAAGTTGCGAGCCCCTTCTGTGGGGGTCAATGACTCGCCCCCAATAGCCAGTGATGGCACCAGCTGGCTATATCAGGATGCCGGCATCCACAGCCACTCGGTCTTGGAAGGGTTGAGTCGAAGCCTGTTCCTCCCCATCCAGACCCGCATGGCCTCCAGACACTGGGACATCACATCAAGGGCATCATTGGGGTGGTTTGGGGTGGAGATGTACAGCTGAGTATCAACAGCGTACAGATGACACCACACCCCAAATCCACGGATGATCTCACCCAGCGGCTTCACATAAATGTTGAACAGGAGTGGCGAGAGGACCGATCCTTGCGGCATCCCACAAACAAGGTGCCTCGAGGTTGACCTCTGCCCCCCTGCCAAACACAGACTGTGACCGGTCGGAGAGATAGGAGGAAAACCACCGCAAGACGGTGCCTCCCACCCCCAATCCCTCCAGCCGGTGCAGCATGATACCATGGTCGATGATATCAAAAGCCACTGAGAGGTCTAATAGGACCAGAACAGAGGAGCAACCCCTGTCCCGAACCCTCCAGAGATCATCAACCAACGCGACCAATGCTGTTTCCATGCTGTACCCAGGCCTGAAGCCGGACTGGCATGGATCTAGATATACGGTTTCATCCGGGTACTGCAGGAGCTGTTGCGCAACCACACTCTCAACAACCTTCGCAATAAAGTGAAGGTTGGAGACAGGACAGTAATTTGCCAAACAGCTGGGTCCAGAGAAGGCTTCTTGAGAAGGGGCCTCACCATCGCCTCTTTCAAGGCGGACGGCAAGAAATCCTCCCCCCAGAGAAGCGTTTATAATCCTCTGGAGCCAGCCTCACATAACCTCCCAGGTAGCCAGTACCAGCCAGGAGGGACACGGGTCCAATAAACATGTGGTTGCGTTTAACCTCCCCAGCATCCTGTCCACGTCCTCAGGAGTCACAAGATCGAACTCGTCCCAGATAACATTCTCAAGACACCCCGCCGGAATCTACCCAGTCAGAGTCCAAGCCTTCCCAAATTTGAGCAATTTTGTCGTGCAGATACTGTGCAAATTCCTCAGCCTGCCCTTGCAAGGGGTCCTCCCGTGCTCCCTGATGTAGGAGGGAGCGGGTCACTCTAAACAAGGTGGCTGGGCGATTATCTGCCGATGCAATAAGAGCGGGAAAGTAATTACACTTTGCCACTAAATAGGTCTTAATGTGAGACCTAACTAGTGTTCGGTCAGATTCGGAATGACTGGCCCTCCAACCACTCTCTAGGCATCTTTTCCGGCGCTTCATCTCCCTCAGCTCCTCGGAGAACCAAGGAGCTGGGCAGATTCGGCGCCAGGTCAGAGGCTGCAAAGGCACGACTCGATCCAAAGCCCCGGCGGCTGTCCTATCCCAGGCGGCCACCAGTTCTTCAGTCGAGTCGTGAGCCAGAGTTTCAGGAAATAGTCCAAGCTCCCTCTGGAATCTATCTGGATCCATCAGGCGCCTGGGGCGGAACCACCTAGTCGGTTCCACCTCCCTGCGGTGGAGTGTAGCGGTCAGAAAGTCCAGCCTCAGGAGAGAATGGTCAGACCATGACGGGTTCAATAGCTATATCCCCTGGCCATTTAACCATTGACCAGAGACAAAAACCAAGTCCAGAGTGTGTCCGCCCGTGTGAGTAGGGCCATGAATTAGTTGTGTCAGGTCCATGGCCGTCATGGAAGCCATGAACTCCCGAGCCACCTCAGACGCCTCACTAGCAGACGGCAGGTTGAAGTCCCCCATGACCAACACTCTGGGGGTATCAACCGCCACTCCGGCAATAACGTTAAGCTTGGGCAGGGCCGCTGTCACGTGGCAGGGAGCCAGGTACATGATCAGCAGGCCCACCTGGATCCCATGGCCCCACTTCACCAGAAGAGACTCACATCTGGCTATCTGAGGTACAGTGGCCTCCCTCGGATCAAGACCTTCCTTTATGACAACCGCCAGTCCCCCACCCCTGCCCTGGGCCCTCGGCTGATGAAATGCTCGGAAACCTGGTGGGCACATCTCTACGAGGGGGACCCACCCCCTCTTGGCCCAACCAGGTCTCTGTAATACCCGCCAGGTCCGCTCCCCCCTCCTGAATTAACTCGCAAATGTGGGGGCCCTTATTGACCACGGACCTGGCATTGCACAGCATCAGCCTAAGGTCTGGGCTCTGAAGCTATGGAGAATCCGGGGAACGAGAAGAGCCTTGGGGGCCGAGGCATGCCACCGCTTGCAAACAGCGGGTGCATGCCCCCGTAACATGATATGGCCCCTTGCTCCTGCCATATCTGCCCCTCCCAACCACGGTCCTGATGGAATCGCCCTCTTCCCTACCCACACTGAGCCCCTCCCACACCCCGCTCCATACCTCCCATTTCATGCCCCTGTGCCAAGCCTGGCCTATAGCCTTCCCTCCCCTCCCCCCTCCCCAGACCCCTTAAAAGATTACAAAAAGACAATTTTAAAAAACCCCTGAGCCCCCTCTTTGCGGCATGCCACCTCTCGGGATTCCAAAATCCGTCATCGAGGTAGGCCCTCGATAATGTGGAGGGCCAAGCCTGCGAGAGGGGGGAATCTTACAGACCAAGAAGCTCTGCTTCTTCTGTCAGGATATCTGACAGGATATCTGACAGATATCCTGAATGGCTTACAGATTGTACTGTACAAGGTACACAGTATGAGTTAGAATCACAACTTATTAATACAACTTACATTAATATACTATTTTTACTCCAGATTTTTTTGCAGCAGAAATTGTTCTGTCATTTCAGAACTGGAAAATAGGTGAGGACTTTAAAGAGAACTTCATAGATTTAAATACCATTAATACATGTTATTTCTTCATTCATAAAGTTATTGATCTAATACAATGATATAATAAATGATAGCTGATTCCCAAAGTTGTTTATTTGGAAGTTATAAAATTATTGACCCAGTAAAGATAGTCCTTGATTTACAATCCCAGAATTTCCGTTGGTAAGTAATGTGGCCATTAAGTAAATTAAGTGGTTATCTGGCTTCTCCCATTGACTTTGCTTGTTGAAAATCCCCTGGAAAGTTGCAAATGGCAGTCAAGTGAATCCAGATTTCTGTAACCATCAGCACCCATGACTCTGATTATGTGACCTCAAGGAATATGTGACCTCAAGGAATAGGTGTTAACTGTCAGGACTAGTTGTAGATCACTTTTTTCAGTACCATTATAACTTTGAATGGCTGTTAAATGAATGGTCATAAATTGAGGATTATCAGGATAGTGATTTAATAGATAATAGAAGAGTCCTAAAGTTGTTTATTTAAAATTAAATCTAGTTGTTCAGTAAAAGTAAATGTTTGTTTTTATTATTGTCTTATTGTTTTTATTACTATTTTTATTATTGTCTTACTCTGAAAAATAATTATTCATTTGCGACATCTCGTTGGTTTTCTTAGTTTTATTTTATAAAGACTCTTTCAAGTTGAGGTCAAGTCTTAGTAATTGCATACTTGTCATTACTTGGGCGCTGCTGGCATAACTGTTTACCACTGGCCACTAGGGTACTTTTTTACTTTCCTGAAATTTCAAGATACCTTCCCCTCTCAAAAAAGTACAAAGTACAGCAGGATAGTCTTTCGCTCTTAGGGAGCAAAGATTATTATTATTTATTCTTGAAATAGGTACCAGAGAGTATAATAGTACCATGATACTTTCAGCTGTGTTCAGAATTCTTACGAAGTGGTTTTGCAGGCTGGTGACAAGGGACGACTGATTCAGTCTTTCATAGAAAGCTTTTATTGCTAGACTCATAGCAATAACTGTTTAGTAGGTGGATGGGAGGGAGAGAATTATGGTTATGAAAGAAAGGCAGATTTTTTTTCTATTGTTGTAAAACAGCAATGAGAATAGATTGGGAAATATAATCCCTATGGAGATAACTACCAAAAAAGCAAAAATGATCCATGAATAGCAAAAAGAACAGCCAATTTCCCCTCCCCCCCTCCAATCCTGCAGATCCATTAAGAAAGATGGGATTATTTTCCTCAGTTCAGAGTTTCTTGTGACTTTAAAAGGGTATCTAAACTATTGATTGTAAGTCACACACTTGTAATGAAGTTGT